ACTCTCTGTACGACTCGTTGCGCACAATCGGCACTAATTGTCGGCATTTGACACGATTTTCACTGAAATTTGCGTCCAAATCATGGAAACTGAACGTCGATGTCATGAATGCCATGATATTTATGCCGCGACTAAAACGACTGCATTTGTTGTTATTGTTGACACCCGATGCCGTAGTGGTCACCGATTGTCGTATGTTTGATGCCATCTATGGCTGCAACCGATTGACTCATTTAGACCTCCGTTTGTGGCGAATACGCGACACACTGTTCGCCGGCATTCAGACTAATCACCGGAAACTACAGGTGCTCTCCATTACTACCACCGATGAAGACAACAAATACAGTGAATCGGATTTCGAGGCATTTATTATGAGATGCAGTCATAAATTGAGTGCATTTACTGTCTATCAAGGGGACAGACCTAAGATCCACTTCAATGACCAACAGATTTATGAAATGAGACACAATTAGCCCTCAAATGAATGAATGGTTAAAATGATTTTGATTTACTATTCGTAGGAATTGTTTTATAATAATAATATTCACCGCAAATAACTACTGTATATGTTACCGGTCATGATATTTAAAATAAAATGTTCATGTTAATTATATCAAACACAACTATTATATGATTTTAATTGTTAATTGTCAGTTGAATTACCTGATGTTACTTATTAATTGTAAACTCATCCATGTTAATTTGTTCATTAAGTCTTACAGTGATTAATGTTAAACTACAGTTACACTGGTTAATTAAAATAATTCATTAAAATATTATTGGATACTGTATTTGATTAACTGTAGTTTTACTAAATAGTTAAATAGACCTCAATTTTATTTAACAAATCTGTTTATAAAAGCTATAATATTTCAAAACATGTACATCTAAACTGTTTATTAAATAAAAGTTTTTTAAAACTAAATTATATAAAAGTTAATGTTATATACACATTTAATTAGGGACAGTTAGATATGGATTATCAAGTAAAATAAATTAATATAATTTATAAATGTGAGATACAGTGGTCGACTGCAACTATGGTTTATGAACACAATACTTGTAAATTGATAAATAAATTATTTACTGTATTTATGCAGGTTCATTTATTATTGATAATATTTATCTCTCACCAGTCAGTGGAATAAAATAATCATATTCACAGGAAATATTTTAGCTAGATGTTAATTAACCCATATTATTAATAGTTTCATTAATATTCATAATTGAAATATACACAAGTCTATTATTTGATAAGTTATCAGGCTAACAATTATCATATAAGTTAGATTTCAGTACTGTACTGTATTTTACAAATAAATGTCTAAAAATTAACTAAATTTTATAATAGTATGAAAATTAATAATTCAAAATGATATTCATATATCTATACATGGTCATATGAAAATGAATACAAAATTAATCAATTTATTTAAATTTTATTATTTAAAATCGTTGGAAAGCATTTTTATTGTAAAGTACATTGCTCATTCTTGTCATTATTTTTATGAACCAATTACAATATAATGTTTAATTTAAATAACAAACTATAAAACATAACGTGTAACTTTTTTCTATTGTAATATAATGAGTGTAAAATAATATTTATTATGAATGTTATAAAACAGTTATTAGTTATTAAATAAAACAAAAGTATCCATGTGATTTTATTGTTCAGTCAGTAATCATTAATCTTTTATATATTTCTCCCATTTTTGTCTCAATTACCGAAATGATAGCCAAAAAAGTGAATAAAATGCTAAAAATAACTAATGATCAGGGTGCTAATTGTTTGAATTATTATTTATGTTGTTTAATAAAATATTATAATAAATTATGCAATCAAAAGCTTTTAACCCGGGACATTTACGCTAATCGATTAGACATTAGTTTTAAAATGTGTCATAAATTATGAAATAATTTTTTGGGAGACTTTTGAATGGCATTCAGTGTTTCAGTCAATAGTATTGACTACGAGTTGTTTAATGTGACTATTATTGCTATTATTTTATTGTTTGTAAACTGGGTCAATTTCACAAATCAATTACAGTAATATGAGCTGAATCTCTNTGGGAGACTTTTGAATGGCATTCAGTGTTTCAGTCAATAGTATTGACTACGAGTTGTTTAATGTGACTATTATTGCTATTATTTTATTGTTTGTAAACTGGGTCAATTTCACAAATCAATTACAGTAATATGAGCTGAATCTCTACTAGACACTTGAATGGCTAATTGGACATGGTTACTTCATGTTTACCAGGGTAAGTGCTAAGTTAGCACTGCTAACCATTGTTTGTATGCTTACCCAGTGATTACTATTTGAAAGCAAATTAAAGTGTTTTTTATTGATTTGAAAATTATATGAATTAATGATTACTGATGTTCAGGGTAATTTGAAAATTGAAAACAGTCATTTGTAACTAGGTGATAACAGTCAAAAACTAAGTAGTCATTGAAAACTTGAATACAATTTCTAATTTAGTTAACATTTGAATTTAAATATACATTATTATAGTAACTAATTTATTTGTATATGTTACAATTTTATTACATTTGTATTTTGTATGGGGTAAATCAACTAGGTAATTTAATACAAAAACTTATAACTAAATAATAAGAGTAATTTATTTATTTATATAACAATTTGTTTTAATTAAATGCAATCCATTGACAGCAAAAAACATCTGATTTCTAGTTTTAAAAGTTATAACAAAATTTAAAATTTTGTTTTTATTTATTATTAAATTTATTAATCAATTATTAATTTTTTATTTTTTACAAATCGTTTGTAAATTTCCTTTTTTCATTAAAACCGGTGTTTGAAAAATGAAATTTACTTTTTCATGACTTTATAATAAAATTTTAAATGTATTTTATTCACAAAAAAATGATTTCTCACTAAAACTCTTCTGATCAACAATTTTATGGCACTTTTGAAAACTTTAGTTTTGAAAAATTGTTTATTATTTGTGTCGAAAAGTATCTAGTACATATTGTCTCTGAAAAAAGTATTCATTTAGCTTGCATTAAATGCAATACAAATACCAATTCGTATGTATAGTATAGTAGTTATTGTCTATACAGACAATACTGAAAACACACAAAAAGTTTTTCGTATGTTTTTATAGTTGATGCAAAAAATGGCAATTATTTTCATTATTGATAATCATTTTCCCCACTTCTGGTCCATAACTTCATAACATGTTTTCAAACATACTTTCCCATCGCATATACACCACAAAAACACTTCTCATAATAGCATTCATTAGGCGTTTGAGTTAATGAATCGATAGGGTCGAATATCAGTCAGCGGCTGGTATAGGAAGGGTATTCACCTCGCGTTTTTTGTGATGTAAAGCGCTCTGTAAATACTGAAGGGGAAGGCAAGGGAATATCATAATAACGTCTGTTAACACAACAGCGAGAGTACAGTATAGTTGCGGTAATGAGCGATGAGTAGTGGCTGTGCCGACGACTCCCGGCGCTCTCGGGTCAGGGATGCAAAACACAACATACACCACACAACCATCATATATATAATTAGCGGCACATGTAGTCTCTGTAACCAACAAATCGTTGCACAAAAATATATATAATAGCAGTCAATGAGCAGCGCCTGTATGCGCCCGTACTAAGAGTGCGGCGAATGCCGGTAGTGGGGGGCTGGCGGTGGTGGCCCGTGGTGTAGGTGCTGCCTATGGTGGCACTCGCCGCAGTCAAACTGGAGGGGACTGGAGGTCTTCCTGGACTCGATCATCTGGATTAAGCCGTTTTCCTGGGGCGGCATCATCTCCATGGTGGCATAAATATCATGGCATTCATGACATCGACGTTCAGTTTCCATGATTTGGACGCAAATTTCAGTGAAAATCGTGTCAAATGCCGACAATTAGTGCCGATTGTGCGCAACGAGTCGTACAGAGAGTACTGGGCGGAGGGTTCGGCGTAACCCAAACCAAGTGTCAGTTCCCGGAGTTGTGGTAATCTCGCGATTTGTGCCATAAATCCAATGACAGTTCCCATCGATAGTGTGACCCAAGTTAACACATAAAGACATTTCAATGACTTATTATTGGCCACAAAAGTGGCGAACATTTCGTTGGAAAAGTCATTCGTTATTGTGAACTGAAATGACATCAAATTCTTAGCCATTAGTCGATTGTCTGGAGTGAAGACATCAGTCAATGTCTGAACCCGAAGGTGACGCAAATGATGGCAATACTCGAGGTATTGTGGGTTTTCGTGTCGGACTCCGAGGGTCTGAAGTTTTGGCGCAAACCTTTGAACCCAATTAATGACCGAATCATCGATAAAAGCAAAATAGACATCAATTCGTGTGAGACGTCGACAGTAATCATCGGACAGACCATCGATGGTCTCCAACAGTGGTCTAACATGATCTGACTTGTAGCGTAATATATGGTAGCAATCAATGGTCTGAATGTTGGGACACTTCTTGAGAATATCAGTCAATACATCGCTTCCAAAGGATCCAGACTTTGCGCTCATTTTGGCAAACAGTGTGTCAGTGATAGTGAGGACTTTGATAGATATGTGAAGACATCTCTGGAACTGTTTGGACAGACATTCCCTTCGGAAGTGCTCTTCAAATGGCAGATAACTCAACAACAGTTGACACAAATCATCACCGAATCGATCGAAAGAGTCTTTGCTATAGATTTGATCCCAAAATACATTCATTTCTATACTTTTGACACCAATTCAGAGATAATTAAACAAAACCTATATTCAAGTGAAGACTCAGAGGAAGGGGTCGTCTGTGAAATCACTAGTGATGTCATAAACCGTTGAGTCATATCCAGACTACTGGTGCTGTCATTTGATCCATTGGTGACCGCATTGTCTCCACTCATGTCATCACAGACTCCGAGATCTGAAAAGAGATATCATTTGAGACACGAATTGAATGTTCGATGAGTTGAGACCCGAAGAGTCGCTTCCAATCGCTTCCATGTCTTCAATGTCTTCAAAATGATCACAAAAAACACAAATATTTTGAAAACACTTTTCACTCAATGTTTGCAATAATAAAATATAAATTGTATTATATAATAACCTAGGTGGTGGTGGTCAGTGTGTAACTTAAACTTGATTATAGCATTTAAAACACATTCACTGAAGTCTATAACATAAGTGATTGAATAGAGACAATAAATGCGATTATATGTTAGGGTAGTGACTAATACCGGATATGTATTGTCCCTGAACATTTCATATTTATAAGCATTTCCTTGTATGTTTAGACAAACATAATAATAAACATATAGTTTTTAAAATTCTAATAACTAGATCACTACAATACACTCCCGTTATAGTGAACACTTTTATTTATTAATTAATCATTAAAATTGTAATAAAATTGTTATATAAATAAATTTATGAAATATTATTATTATTATTATTATGAACATGTATATAAATATCAATTTGAATTATTAATTTTCATTAAATTGTAATAAAAGTGTAACATGGACAAATAAATTACTTACTATAATAATTTATATTTAATTCACTTGTTAACTAAATTTAAAAATGTATTCAATGACTACTTAGTTTTTGTTTGTTATAGCTTATAACCTAGTTACAAATGACTGTTTTTCAAATAACCCTGAACATCAGTAATCATTAACTGCGGGAAACGTATAATTCATTAAATTTTTAAATCAATAAAAAACACTTTAATTTGCTTTCAAATAGCAATCGCTGCGTAAGCATACAAACAATGGTTAGCACTAACCCTGGTTAAATATAAAGTATTACAACTAATACTCATTAAGTGAATGTGTTTATTAACAGCCATTTCCTGTGAATATTATTATTTCAAAATTATTCCACTGACTGGTGAGACATAAATATAATCAATAAATGAACATGTACAATTATAGTGAATAAATGATATGAATTTACATGTTTTGTGTGCATAAATCATAATTGCAATGTTAAATTAGCTATCTCACTTTAATAAATAATGCTAATTAGTTGGATTGAATTGACATAATGAATGAACTTAAAAATCCATATCTTAACTGTCCCTGATATAATTTTTATGTAATTTAGTTTTAATTAACTTATTTAATAAACAGTTTAGAGATATATAAAATTGTAATATTAATTGTAATTATAGTGAGGACATTGAGACTGATGTGAAGACATCTCTGGAACTGTTTGGACAGACATTCCCTTCGGAAGTGCTCTTCAAATGGCAGATAAGACAGTAATAGTCGACACAAATCATCACCGAATCGATCGAAAGAGTCTTTGCTATAGATTTGATCCAAAAATACATTCATTTCTATACTTTTGACACCAATTCAGAGATAATTAAACAAAAGCTGAACTCAAGTGAAGACTCAGAGGATGGGGTCGTCTGTGAGTCCAGTCGTAAGCCATTCACGTCTTCAGCGCCACTATTGCTGTCCATTGAGTCCAACACCGAAACAACTGATCCATTGGTGAGCGCATTGTCTCCACTCATGTCATCACAGACTTCGAGATCTGAAAAGAGATATCATTTGAGACACGAATTGAATTTGAGATGAGTATAATATAATCACTAAATGAACCAGCATATTATAGCCTTTATAACAGATTTGTTAAATAAAATTGAGGTCTATTTAGCTTGCTTATTTAGTACAACTAAATCAAATACAGTATGGAATAATATTTTAATGAATATTAATTAACGTGTGTAACTGTACTGTAGTTTAACATTAATCACTGTAACCTTTAGTGCTGAACAAATGAACATAGCTGAGTTTACAATTACAGTAATAAGTAATATCAGGTAATATTCAGTTGAGTATTGGAAACAATTAAAATTATATAGTAGTTTAGATTCAAATAACATTCATTAGTGAAACTCATTATCATATCTCATGTTAGCCCTGATGATGGTCACAGTATTGACCGAAAAGTTAATTTTATTTTTTAAGTCATTTTCGCTGCTACTATAAATAATTATCGAAAACTTAAATTATATAATTGTTGTGCTTGATATAATTAATATATATATTTTATTTTAAATATCATAACTGATACCCATTTGTATAATACAGTATATTGCGTGTGAAAAACATCTAGTCAATGGAAATACTGTATGGCACAAACAAATGTATAACATTGCAGTGAATTTAAATAAGTAACTAGGTGATTATTATGTAACTTTGACTTTATTGTAACAGTTCAAACACATTCACTGAAGTCGGGTACACAAGTGAGTGAATACATTATATATAATTGATAGCATTTCATATAAACATATATCAACTTTTCATTATCTGTTTGGACAAACATATTGCAAAACATATACAGTACTTGAAATATTATAACAAATAGATCGCTACTATATTATGACATTTGATGCCAAGTATGAAACAATCATTTGACTGTCTAATTGCCATCAATTATATATATATTGATTAATAGGTTAAAAGTAATTAGTAATAATCAATGATAACTAGCATCTAGCTAACTTGCTGTCAACATTATTTTCAAATAATTACCAACAAATAGTAACACTAAATATAATTTCAACCATTCATTCATTCATTTGCCATCAAATTGTGTCTCATTTCATAGATCTGTTGGTCACTGAAGTGGATCATAGTGCGACCCCCTTGATTGAGCCGAAATGAACTCAATTTAGCACTACTTCTCATCACAAATCCCTTGAAATCCGATTCATTGTATTTGGTGTCTTCATCCGTGGTATGAATGCAGAAAACCTGTAGTTTCCGGTGATTAGTCTCAATGCCGGCCAATAGTGTGTGGTGTATTCCCCACAAAGTGAGCCATAAATGAGTCAATCGTTTGCAGTCATTGATGGCGTCAAGCATATGACAATCGGTGACCACTTCCGCATCGCGTGTCAACATTAACGTCAAATTCAGTCGATGTATTCGTGGCATAAATTTCATGGCATTCATGGCATCGACGTTCAGTTTCGATGCGTTGGACATCAAATTCAGTGAAAATCGTCTCAAATGCCGACAATTAGTGCCGATTATACGCAACGAGTCGTACAGAGAGTGTTGGATCAGGGGGTCGGACAAGAATACAAGTGTCAGTTCCCGAAGTTGTGGTAATCCCGCCATTTGTGCCATCAATTCACGGAATACCGGCATCGATGGTGTGGTCCAACAGCTCACGCAAAGACTTTTCAATGACTTATTGTTCGCCACAAATGTGGTGAACATATCATTAGAGAAGTCATCCGTTATTACGAACCTAATTGAGACCAACTTCTGAGCCAATAGTCGATTGTCTGGAGTGAAGACCTCAATCAATGACTGAACCGATAGGTGACGCAAATGATGGCAATACTGGAGGCACTGGGAGTTTAAGGGATGGACTGCGAGTTTGTGGAGTTTTGGTGCAAACCTTTGAACCCAATTAGTGATAGAATCGTCGAAATCATTTAAACATAAGTCAATTCGTGTGAGACGTCGACAGTAATCATCGGACAGACCATCGATGGCCGACAACAGTGGTCGAGTGACATGCGATTCACGACTCGTTGATATGGGATAGCAATCAATGGCGTCAATGTTGGGACACTTCTGCAGCAGTGCTGTCAATACATCGGTTCCAATAGATCCCGATTTTGCGAGTATTTTGGCAAACAGTGTGTCAGTGATAGTGAGGACATCGAGACTGATGTGAAGACATCTCTGGAACTGTTTGGACAGACATTCCCTTCGGAAGTGCTCTTCAAATGGCAGATAAGACAGTAATAGTCGACACAAATCATCACCGAATCGATCGAAAGAGTCTTTGCTATAGATTTGATCCAAAAATACATTCATTTCTATACTTTTGACATCAAATCAGAGATATTTCAACAAAACCTGAACTCAAGCGAAGACTCAGAGGAAGGGGTCGTCTGTGAGACCACTAGTGATGTCTTAA